TAGCACCTTGGAATCGATAGTCCACCACCATATCCAGTTCAGTGTAAATTATATCTAAATAGACTCACTTCAACAACAACGGACACCAGCTCACTGAACCGTTTTCATGGTGATGGCCTCACCAGAATCTCAAACAAGGACATGGGTAGTGACACGAACGGCGTCGCTGCAGCATAGCCGAGGCCTAGCGGTCGTGGGTGTGTGGTGCAAGGATAGCCACCAAGACTGCCACCCTGCAGCACACAGCGCTAGCTCGTTATCGCTACCCGCACGACTCTGTCTTCACTGTTGTGAAGGATTCGCATTTCCATTGCCAAAACTTCAACACCTGCAAGAGAGTCGACGGCGGGCTCTGCACCCCGAAACGCTTCCCTTTCCTTTCTACCATCCGCTGCAATCCACTGCAAGCATACACTACTGTAGACACACCAACGGGTATTTCTTTACACATTCTAAATAGACGGTTAGTACACTACTAGAAGGACACACAGTACATAGTCTTCCTATGAAACTACGCGACGGGAGTGCTGGCGCCGTCGAGCGAAATTGTGTCGTCGTACTGCGCCGATAGAATCCGCGTCACGACCATGTTGCCATTCACATTGACAGCCGTCCGAATCCGATCAAAAAGAAAGTCAATGGCCACCACGTACACAAACGCCGACGGCAGCGCGATCGTCGGAAACACCGTCTTCCAGACCGTCATGAGCATGACAAGACCGGCGTTCGGGACGGGCGCCGTGCCCATGGAGCCAATGAGCGAGACAAAGAAGAGCACGACGATTTGCGGTGTTCCTAGCGCGGAAGCGTTCCCCGACATGTGCAGCATGAAAATGGTCATGACGGGTTGGTACAGCCCCGCGGCGTTCATGTTGATAGGCGTCCCGAGGCACATAATGAGCTGCGCCATCGAGCGCGTCACGAGGCGCGTCTGGTGCGTGACCGTGACGGCGACGGGCAAAGTCGCCATGGAGGAGGCGCACCCAAATGCAAAGACGTACGCCGGAAAGAGCTGCCGGAGGTAGTTGTACGGGTTGCTGCGCGTAAAGAGGAAGAGCACGATCGGAAGCACAATGAGCACGTGCGAGACGACGCCAGCGACAAAGGCAAGGAGGAGGTACCCGCCGTGCGCCGCCAATCCTGCAGACGACGTGTCGTATGCAACGACAGCGTTGCTGATGAGAAAGACGATCGCGATCGGCGTAAAGCGAAGCACAATATGGATCAGAATCAAGAGCGCGTTCCGGGCTTGGCGCAGCATGTTGAGGAGGTTGTTGGCACTCGCGTCGCCCGCATGCGACTTTGCGACGGCAATGCCGAGCGGCAGAGCAAACATGATGATCGAGAGAAGCGACCCGGTGGCGAGCGCGTGGAAAATGTTGTCGGGCACGACCATCTCGATGATCGCAATCACTTGCTGCGTCAGCGAGAGCGTCTTGAGCGGCGTCGAGATCTTGAGCGCGTTGTTGACGTCCGTCACTTGAAACTGCGCGGACGAAGCGTTCACGCCGGTGCACGCGACGCTGCCATCGATGGACGACGGTCCGAGGTACTTGCCGTTGGCGCACTGCAGCGCAATGATAGGCACCGTCGACGCCGTGTTGAAAGTCGTCGCGTTGTCCTGCCACGAAACGAGTCCGTGGTACGTAATCGCGACCAGGGTCCCTTGCACGGCTGCGAGAAACGATGTGAGAAAGTACGTGCCGGCCGTGCGCCACGAGAGCAGCGCCGTGTTTTTCAAAATGGCAATCTCGGCGATCGCGACCGTCATGGTGCAAAACACCATGGGCACGATGAGACAGCGCAGCGCGCGCACAAAGAGGTCGCCCGGCAGCGCGAGCCACAGCATCGTGTCCTTGTTAAGGCCGAGCGCTTTCAGCCCAATTCCAAGGCCAACACCAACGCCAACACCAATGAGGATCGAGAGCGAGCTCACGAGGTTGGAGCCGAGCCGCGGGTCAAAATTGCCGCCGATTGGCAGCTTCTCGGCTTCTTCCATGATCGGGTCCGGAAACTCGTATTCGGGCGTGTGGGGCCCAAGGTCGTGCCGCGCCGGCGTCGTAAAGTTGGTTCGAATACCAAGGGGCTCGTGGTGCGGCGCTGTGCGCTTCCCACCGCTGCTCGTCGATGACGCTGAGCTCGGCGTCGCATGGAGGAGGTGCGGCGGCGTCGGCGTCACTTGGTGGTCGGCTTCTTGGTACAGGTAGATGCCTTGGTTGCCCGGCATGGTTCGTCTCTGTGGTCAAATAGGAAATGAATGCGTACACTCGATCGGCGGGGAACGTGTTAGTAAGGCCCACGTGGGTCAACCGCCTCTGCTGATGAAAGCAACTCTTGACGGCCGATGCTGTTGTATTTGCTTGAGGCTCGATCCAGATGGTAGTCAGCGCCCTTTCTACAAGGGCAAAATGGCGTCGCCAGAAGATAACGAACGATTGCTTACCAATAATGGCTCGCCCCTGCCGCAAAGAAGGCTGGTATGCGAATCAACTACACTGAAATCGACAAGACCTCTATCATCGACTCGCGTTGGTGTTATAAGACATTGGGCGTGTCGGCGGCAAAGCCGATTGAAGCGGAAAGGCGTTCTCGTTGTGTTGGGTGCTACTCTGACAGCGAAGTTGCCGTGGGGTATAGTGTATTGTATCCCAACCTGGGGCACGACTACTGAACGTAAGAAAGCACTCACTGGAAGGATGAACCAGTGGGGTTCGCTTCTACCGTGACAGCATCAACACCAGTCGAGCCTTTTGAAGCGGTCTGTTGCCACGATCAGCTCGCGTGATGCATCAACGGTACAGACGGCAGCGTTTGAAGTTAAATGGTCTGTAGAACTGGCCTGTTTCCCCCCGAAAAACGCGTCGAACAAACGACAGCAATGGATGCGATCACATGCTACGTTTGTGCTACGTTAGCATGCAAGCGATCTTGTGTAGAGGTCGTCACGAACAATCTTGGTGACTGTCTTGATCCAAACGTACCGGTAGGAACAAACCAGACACCTCGGAAAACATCCCTCACGAAGCAGCAACGTTGCAGCAAGTGGGACTTGAAGTTGCCATTTGTAAACCTGGATGCTGCCAGGTGCTTTTGTCGACAGCTGTTGCTATCGAACGTCGCGTTATAGCCGCACGTCCCGAAGACGATGTAGATTCTTTCTCAGGATGGTTAGCGCAGACATACACACACGACACGAGTAAAATGCGACGCCATTCTGGAGCCATCTCGTCTTGCTGATAGTCGACGTAGTAGGCCGAACCGAAATATCGTCGTCCTTGAACGGTAAATGCCATCGTTCGTACAGATTGTAGAGTGCCTGAGGCAAAGCCACGAGCGTCGCCGTCGCGTTCTTTCTCTGGGATGCAACACCCATATTTTTCTAGAGCGTAGTACACAGGAAGGTACAACAGGTAAACGCGATGTCGCGCAATCTCAAACGCATCGCACTTAGTTGGAGGAACCCAATGAATTGGTTCGTTCCGACGTCCACGCAGTTGCAGACCTGCTGATGGATATGTCCAATCAAAGGAGTCTCGGTATCCACACGACCAAGTCAATTTATACCCCTCTGGGAAGGTGGGGCCAACACATTGAACGATTTTGCTCGCTTTCGGGACTTGAAAGCGGGCTGTCTTGGCTCGCTCGGCAGTTGCTCCCGTGTAGCTGCTCGCGTTCTGTCGACTCACCCAGGTGCAAACGATTGCAACATCACGTCTCTTAGAACCGTGTCAGCGCATCACGCGCATAGACAGCCGTACATCTCGTTCCGTTGTTTGACGAACGCGCAATCCAGCATATTGCTGCTGATGGTCACCTCGAGCAACCACACACAAAGACGCGCCAAAAAAGAACAATAAACAGTAGACAATTAATAGTTATTATAATTAGCTACATGTAGCTATGCAGGAACAAGGGGTAAATACATATCAAACAACTCCATGTAGACGCAAATGGGGTGGTCGACAACTAGACTCGAATGGGGTGGTCGGTGGCGGCGGCGGTGTCATCGATCGAGTCGTGGAGGTCGTCGTTGAAGCGGTCGGCGAGCATGCGAGCCACCACCATGTTGCCGTTGACATTGGTTATGGTCCGGATGCGATCAAAGAGAAAGTCGACGGCCATGACGATCGCAAAGGCCGGGGGGACCTGCGTCGCCGACGGAAACACCGTCTTCCAGACCGTCAGGAGCATGACAAGGCCGGCGTTCGGCACGGGCGCCGTGCCCATCGAGCCAATCAGCGCGACGAAGAAAAGCACGACCCACTGCGGACCACGGAGCTGGTCGTCGATGCCCGACATGTGCGCCATAAAAACCGTCATGACTGGCTGGTATAGCCCCGCGGCGTTCATGTTGGTGGGGGTTCCGAGGAACAAAACGAGCTGCGCAAGGGACCGCGAGACTTGGCGCGTCTGGTGCACGACCGTGACGGCAACTGGCAAGGTCGCCATCGAGGAGGCACACCCAAATGCAAAGACGTACGCCGGCACGAGATGACGGAGGTACTTGTACGGGTTGCAGCGAGTCCAGAGAAAGAGGAATAGCGGCATCACGAGCAGCACATGACAGATCACGCCAGCCAGAAATGCCAAAAAGACGTAGCCAAAGGCGGCTGCGTTCGCCTCCTTGATCTTGTACGAGACGATCGCACTCGCGAGGAGGAAGAGCACCGCGATCGGAGTGAGGCGCAAGAGACCGTCAATGAGCACCAAGATAGCATTCCGCGTCTGGCGTAGCAGCACTAAGAGATGGTTGTGGCTCGCGTCGCTCTGCGTTCTCGCAATCACAAAGCCGAGCGGCAGCGCGAACGCAATGATACTCAAAAGCGACCCACTCGCAAAGGAGGCAAAGATGTTTTCTGGCACGACCAAGTTGAAGATCGAGATGACTTGGTCCGACAACGAGAGCTGCGAGAGCGCCTGCTTGGACGCAAGCGTGATGCCGTGCGACGAATCGCGCAGCGAGAAGAGCGCCGTCGTGGCATTCGGATTGGCCTCGACGCAGCCGACGGACCCGTTGTTGCTGAAGACTGCGAGGTACAGCTTATTGGCGCACTGGAGCGCGATATTTGTCGGAAGCGCGGGGGCCGGTGCCTTGGCAACACCGTGGCTAGCAACGAGGTGGTAGACATAGGCTACCGTGATACCTTGGAGCGTTGCGAGCAGTGACGTGAGGAAGAAGATGCCACCCGTTCGCCACGAGAGAAGGGCCGTTTTCTCGAGGAGAACGATCTCGGCGATCGCGACCGCCATTGAGCAAAACACCATGGGCACGATAAGACAGCGCAGCGCGCGCACAAAGAGATCACCGGGCAGCGCGAGCCACTTTGGCCAGTCGGACGAGGCGTCGACGTGGAGCTGCATAAGGCCGACGCCGAGGCCAATACCGATCGCGGCGGCAATCACAATCGAGACGGACGCGAGCAGACTCGTGCGGCTCGTTACGTCCAGCGGCTGCGGGTGGATCTTGTCGGGAAAATACTCTTCCATGATTGGGTCCTCGTAGACCTCAAAGGGCCGGCCGGGGCTCAAACGGGATGTAAACGTCGTACGGATGCCCGAGCCTTCGGGCGGCGGTGGCAGACGCCGGGACACAGACACGGTTTGAGAGCTTGGCGTCGAGAGCAGGGTGTGGGGATGGTCTACCGCGGTGGACCGCCGGGGCGCCTCTTGCTCGGCGGCAGGCGCATCGTCTGGCGCAAACAAATAGACACCGCCCGACGCTTTCGTGCTGTGCTTTGTCATCCAAGCGAGAAATAAAAGACTGATTCAAGCACGCAATATGCATCGAACGTGACCTTTCCCGGTCAGACGACAGGCCATACACACGGATGGTTCGTTGCACATGCGGCGAAGTCCATCTCTCGTCGCTTCGCCAGCCAACCCGTGGCCTGCTGCGATGGCCGATACCTTGCGCAGGATGGGTGTCGTCACGTCAACGCGGGGATAGACACGCTTGGCTATCTCGCGGCCAGGCGCGGGATGTGCACCATGGTGTTTTTCACCCGACAGTCCACACTAGCTACAATTTGCTAGACTGCCACGTAATTCCTACACATTTTACACGTGTAAAATCTGATATTGCACTTTGTTGGACCAGGATGTATTATCACCAAACACCGTTCTACACGGTGAGAAACATCATCCTACGACCGCGCCTTTCCGTTTTCTTCAAATCAGACGCGCCGAACGACGTCGCGCTTCAAGTATGTAGGCTACGTAGCTTGCTACCGGTAGGACCCATTGCATTGGCAAAATCGAAGCTATTAATAACACATATTGGTGTAGAATGCCGAAATTAGCATATCTGCCGGTGCCCCTGGTCATTTACAACGCGTCGGCCCATGACCTCCATGCCAAGTCGTAGACGTGGCAGGTCACCTGTATTCACGGAAGCTGGCAACACTGCTACGGCCATGTGTACGTACGTCGTCACGTTCTGATCATGCAAGCGCCTCGTCGTACGCCGCGCGTTAGCGGTGTTAGTGCAACATGCAATAGCCCATTGAAGGGCCCACTCGAGGGAAGGCTTTATGCTCACCAATCTCTACTCATGTACGAGTATGATATAGAACTCCATCACAACTCCATTCGTGAAGGCTGTCAATTTTGATTTCTTAGTCCCACTTGTATGCCCGCTGGTTTGGTCGTCATAGCGGTCCGCTAGTATGCGCGTCACGATCATGTTGCCGTTGACGTTGACTGCGGTTTGAACGCGGTCCAAGATGAAGTCGATTGCAACCAGAAACACGAACGCTTGAGGCACGGCGTCGTCGGGAAACACCGTCTTCCAGACCGTCATGAGCATGACAAGACCAGCGTTCGGGACAGGCGCTGTGCCCATGGAACTCAAGAGCGACACGAAGAAGAGGACGACCCACTGCGGCGTGTCCAGATCCATCCCAATGGTGGTTGCCAAGAAGACCGTCATGACCGGGTGGTACAGGCCCGCGGCATTCAAATTTGTGGGCGTTCCGAGGCACATGACGACTTGTGCAAACGACCGCGAGACCTGGCGCGTCTGGGCCATGGCCGTGACCGCGACCGGGAGCGCCGCCAACGACGACGCGCACCCAAACGCAAAGACGTAGACTGGAAACAGCTGTTGGATGTAGTGAAACGGCTTGGTGCGCGTCGCGAGAAAGAGAACGAGTGGCATCACAAGCAATAGGTGCACGCCGACGCCGCTTAGGAACGCCGCGAGGAGGTACCCGCCGTTGGTCACCACCGTGTTGGTCAAGTTGTCGTACGTCACGATTGCGCTCATGAGCAAAAACGCGACGGCGACGGGCGTCGCTTTCAAAATCACCTGCAGCATGATGAGCATCGCGTTGCGCGTTTGTCGGAGCACGACCAGCATCGCATTGTGCTCTGGTAGCCCCGTGTGCGACTTGGCAATCGCGAAACCGAGGGGGAGTGCAAACGTAATGATGCTGAGTAGCGAGCCATTGGCGAGCGCGGCAAAGATGTTTTGGGGCACCAAGAGGTTGATGATGGAAATGACCTCTTGCGTCAACGAGAAACTGCGCAGCGTCGTGTTGACGGCCAAGACGTGGTTGACATCGCTCGCGACGAAGCGCGTCGTTGGCGACGAAGTCTCCGACGCGACGCACGCGAGCTCGTTGGCGTCGGTTGGAATGGCGTACTTGCCGTTGGGGCACTCGAACTTGAACACGAGTGACGTGGTTGCGAGGAGCCCCGATGGTGGTTTGTGATTGCGCACAACAGTGTGGTAAATGCCGGCAACAATCATGCCTTGGACGACCGCCAAAAACGACGTCAGAAAAAAGTAGCACCCGGTGCGCCACGAGAGAAGCGACGCCTTCTTGAGCACGACGATCTCGGCGACAGCGACGGCCATGGCCGAGAAGACCGCGGGCACCATGACGCAGCGCAGTGCCCGAACGAAGAGGTCACCGGGCAGTGCCACCCATGCAATCGCATCGGACGAGAGGTCGAGCGTCGCCAAAACAAGCCCAAGACCGACACCGATGCCGGCGGCCACGATGATGGCGAGCGAGCTCAGGACATAGGGACGTATCGCGGGCTTCTTCAGAGGAGGCCGGAGCGTCGAGTCGTCGGTCTCAAAGGCGTCATCGTCGACGAACCCTTCGTACTCGGAGATAACGGGCGTGAAGCGCTCGTCCGATTGCTTGGAAAGCAGGTTGCCACGCACGTGGAAGGTTGTTTCAAGCGGTGGCGGTGGACGGCGGACGCCACCTGCCGTTGGGTTCTGGTTGAGGTCGGTGGCCGTGGCGCTGCTGCTGCTGAGTGTCGGTGCGTTGGACTCGCGCGGCGCTTCGCCTTCAAAGAGCACCACACCTCGTGTTGCCATTTTTCCAATGCACGTTTCTGTGAAGAAGGATTCGTCGAAGACTAGGCCATAGCATCGAAGGTTTAACCGATTGTGTTGCCTCATGTATTCGTTTCGATTTTCCAACAAGACAACCAGGTTGATAACCACATCTTATGCCAGAAGGCTCATATCCTTGACCCTCCAAGGACGGCGGGCTTGGGTCGTGCCGTGCCAGCTCATCGTACAAGCCGCGTGCTCTGTGATGGGTTCGCGGGTCGATGGCCACACGGTTTGGAACATTAACCGTTCCAATCGTTCGGCGTCACATTCTTGTCCGCTCGAACCGTTTACAGGACCAGCTGACGTAATTCTCGGGGTTGATGTAAAAGTGAGTCTATTTGGTTATTCTTTACTGTCCTGGAGCCCCCGCAGAGAATGACGGTTAACTCCTGATGTTCAACGCGTTGCAACTGAACGGCAGTGCCGAGACGCAGTCGTTGAGGATGCGAGGTGTAAAGATGCCGCGCAGTGCAAGCGCGACGCCACGCTACAGCACTGTAAGGCGGTGCCACCCTAACCGCATCCAGATGCCAAGCGTGCACCAATCAACGCCCATGTAGCATCTGCGAGAGTTGATGCCCTTTCTAAATCCATCAACGCGAAGGAGCGACACGCCATGAATCCAATTATTCCCTTATACGAGTACTTTAGAACCTGAACCGACTGCCACGTAAAATTTTGTGGGTACTCTTTTACGTTTTAAGCGAATTACAGATGCCGATCCTGCGTCCCTGTCCAAGTACGCAAAACCTTGACGTCGGCGATCCAACACAAAGGATGGACAGACGGCGTGCGAGCGCTTAGGCTCTTGGTCGCATTGTTCATTTTGCACACCATGGGGCACACAGGTCCGCTGCTGCGCAAGAACGTGTGGCTCAAGAAGCGGCGGCCGATCGCGACCCTCTTCGAAGTCATCGCGCCGGCGTTCGCGCTGATTGCGTTTGCCGTCCTGCAGTCGTTCATGTATGGCAGCTACGAGGTGTCGTTTGCGCCAGGCTGGCAAAACTGGCCGCTTCTTCCAGGCTACCCCAACGTCAACTACGGCGACCGCGTCCAGACGTATGGCAGCAAGCGTGGCATGCACTTTGCCGAGCCTTCCGTGTACCAATGGCTGCAAAGCTCGATGGGCGAGAGCTACGACACCAAGATCTGCTTTCAGAACCCGTCGCCCGACGAGCAAAAGTCGACCAAGTGCCGAAAAGCACTTGCGCTGCGGCCCAAGCTCGCGATCGTCCCGGACACGGTCTTTACGCGCAAGTACTTTGCCGCAGCGCTCGCGACGTGGTACCCGTCGCTATCGGTACCCATCGCAGACAACAAGACGGTCACGATTTCTGGCATTACGGCCGACGACCTCGTCTTCTTCGAGTCGGAAGTCGCGCTCGAGGCCTATGTGACGAGCCCGTCGTACGGCCCGGAAGAAGACGATTGGTACTACCGGTATTCGTCACGGGACGAGACTGCCAAGGAGAGCACGACCACGGCGCCGCTCCGCGCAGCCATCGTCTTCAACACAGCGCCAGCGCCAAACAAGATTGGCACGTTCCAGACGGTCGAGTACACGCTGCGGTTCCCGAACCTCGACCGGGGCCAAAAGTTTGCACCGCCTATGCAGACGGGCCAGCGCTACGACCCG